AAGCAGGGCACGATCAAGCCGGGCTTGATGACGCGTGCCCGCGGGTAACAGAACCCGCCGGCGATCGCCCGTAGACTAGAACGTCTGCCGGTGGTATCAAGGAACATTCGCCCATGGCGAGGCCTGGACGAAACGTAAGTGAATCCAGGGTTCACAAGAAGAAGCGAGGACGCAAGCACCAGACTCTGCGCAAGTCTCGGTCCGAGATCGAGATCCTTCATGGTGTGTCTACCGGGCGGACACAAGGTCCAACAGTGGCCGTCGAGACGTTGAGGGGAGCCTGTACTGGGTACCAGCACAAGAAGATGTAGTTGGGGAACCCTCCGACAGATACGTCGGAGTTGATCAGTCATGAGCCGGAAGCGCTTCACAAAGAACCTGTACGATGGACGCATCGAACAGCTATGCATTCTTTCGGACTGCGAAAGAATGACAAGCGATGCAGAGGAGTCGGGCCAACTCTTCGCTAGAAGCCCCACTGAGAGTGATGATACTCTCAGTGGCAAGAGAAGCAGGAACGCTTCAACGAGCAGCGTTGCAAGATTCCACGAGAGCACATGGATGTGCTCTCGGACGGGACACCCGAGGAAGAAGTATTCCGACGCGACAGTGGCTACTGTCGCAGGATCATGCAAGATGCGCGACGCATTTCTTGGGTTCGGTGCACGACTTCGCACCGAACTGCTTCTACATGATACTCGTTCACAGCCCGGCTGTGAACGGGTAGAAGAAACGCGCACGGAAATGGACCGCTTTGTGATCGCAGCCGGTAGATGCGGCCAAGCTGGGCATGGCTGCTGCGCCGATCTTGGCAGTGGTTGTCCGAGATAGTCCCTTTTCCGGTACACATCCGATTTCGCGATCGGATGCGCGTTGATGATCCAGTGCATGACAAGGAAACCCTTGTCATGAAGCATGCACCCCAGAAGTGCCGAGTGCGATCACTCGGCAACACGTCGTTCGTGGTCTATACCAACCAGGCGACGTTGTGGGCAACGATGAAGTCGCCAGACATCGCGTCCTTCGGGTGAGATGGTTGTCTCTCCCTGGTGTACGACTTCCGGGTCAAACCCGGAAGGTTGAATGTCGTTGCACACGTGTTGTCGCCACGACAGAATATATTTTCCACGGAGAAGGCTGCTTTGCGCTTGACGCAGACGCAAGAGCTGATCGAGTTTCTCTCAGCTC